GAGGCCAGGCGGTCCAAGTTGAATCACTGTGTTTTACTAAGTGCACAGAGGTCCACCGGGCATCTGAACTTAACCCCGTGGTGGCAAAACTTTCCAGAGCCACCTGCATGCATCCCTGCTGCGGGATTATGCCCCGAAGTTCCCTGCGAGCACACGTCGGGCCCCCGCTCACACAGCACAAGCGTCATCCTGTTCATGTCGAGTAAGTTAGCATCTCAGCTGGTCAGTTAGAAAACTAGAGTTCATTCCCTGGGCGTCTATCCCTAGAAGACAGCGTTGTGTGCAGGTGGCGGCACGCTGGCCGAAAGGAGAAGGCCGTTCGCTGTGGCCCAAGGGCACGTACAAAATGGTTAGGGTGCACGTCAGTATGAAGGCATTATGAAGTATTCTTTGGAGCATGAACAAAAGTGCAAAGACAGCCAAAGGCAACAGCGCAGATGGGGAAGCTGCAGCCGCGGCCGCAGCCGCGGCCAGGGGACAAGACTGCAATGGGCAGGTGTGGGCTGGAAGCGCAGGGTGCGCTGCACTGTGTACGGAAACCATCCCAGGCAATTGGATGATGTCAAGGGGATCACAGCTTTGAGCCCCTCCATGTGGGACTACTGGTGGCAGCCCGTCATACCAGCACTCCTCTCCAGTCTCAGGGACGTGGAGGCGGAGCCCAGTGTGTCTGTATCAGGCAGAGGCAGGGGTGACCTTGGTGAATTTCCCTCAACATACATTTAAGGCAACAACTTTGTAAAAAGCCAGTCCCCGTTGGGTGTGCGGGTGTTAGCAATGTGCGCTCCTGCCCGAGAGTTCCAGAACAGCCTGGGGACTATCCCTTCTCTGACAGGGAGTTAGACACCAGGGGGACTTCAGGTGGGTCACGTGGGGCCAGACCCAATATTCTCTGGCAGCCGGGATACCAAGGTGTGCATCTAAGACAGAGCTCTGAGCAAACTTAAAACCCAGGCAGGCACCTCTAGGTGTTGGGTGGGGTCTCCTTCCTAGGGCATAACCCTTTCCTGGTGCCTCCCAAGGCCTGCAGCTAGAACCGCCTCGTAGACAAGCAAAATTCACCAAACCGTGGCCCCAATTCATTCACACACAGGGACACTGGGTCCCTAAACCTTAGGGCCTAAGGCATGTGTTGTGCACATGCTGAAGACTCTTCAGAAAGAAACCCCAATTTCCATCCTAATACCTCCTCCAGGAAGCTCTTGCCTGCTTAGCTCAGCTGGGGCACAGTAGGAGCCTAGGACAGACAGACAGACAGACATGCCTGCAGACTCTTCTTGGACTTCCTTCCTAACACCCTTCATCCTATGCCCTGGGAGGTCTCAGGAGAGCAGAAGGCCAGTCTCTCTGCATTGCGGTAACAGATGACCACATCGCTCCAGCCATGTGATCAAACTCTGTACAGATTCTCCACTCTAACCCCAGCCCACCCTGCTGGGATGCAAGGTGCCCCAGACCTCTCTGAGTCCCTCTACTGTGGGTCCCCTTGTTCAAACCAAGTTTTTCATGTTTATTTCAAGAGGTTGTGGCCTCAGAGAAAGGCCCATGTGTTGTCCTGTGGGTGTCGGGGTGTGAGACACGGGCAAGTGTTATTAGTCTCCACTCCGAGCACTCCTTACAGCCGGGAAACCGAAAGACACAAGCTCTGGTGTTTCAGAAAAGGCAATCCTGTCCCAGATTCTCTCACCCCTAGGGTAAGGTCTGAAGACATCTCCCGGCCTACTTCTTTCCACAAAAAAGCAAGGGTGTTCTTCACGGTGCCCCTGATGTAGGTTAAACCCATTAGGGGTAGCAAAAGGCAGGGTGGCCTCCTTTTCCATATTCTGAATCCATAACCACCAGCTCAAGGGGAGAAGGAACCTTAAACCAGTGCATTAAAGGTGGAAGTTGGCCCTGGATATGCATCTCCTATGTCTAGGGACTGGGTATGACTACATCTTAGAGAGTCCCCTCCAAAGAAGCCCATTCGGTGTCTAGTGCGGGTTTCAAGTGCGGCCCATAAGGGTGAAAGCGTTAACAGCTAGCTTAATGGACACTTGGTCTGCCCAGACCACACGTAGGACAGCAGATGGGCCCTTACCCCGGGTGTTCTGGCCCTAGAGGACAAGGTCAGAAAGGAAGATGCTAACCCAGAAAACGCTAATCACAAGCCTGGCATGATGAAGCAGGCACGTATACAGGAGGGCATGGGAACTGGCCAATACCAAGACTGACCCCAATGCACAGACTGATCTGGACCTCAGTAGGCACCAGAACTGCCCTCACCCTGACCTAGCCACAGCCTCTCTTGGCACCTATAGACAGATACCAACTACTCCAAGGAAGAGGGGCAGTGTGGGAATTCAACGGGCTGCGGGTGGTTCCTCTACCACTGTTGCCCGGAGCTCACACCCCAGTCAACGTTCAAATTTTTAGAACATTTATCATTAACTCTTGCGGCACCCTCCCCAGGTAGCTCCCATCAGGAAGAGCCAATGAGAAAAAGACTAGTGCGTGTGGGGGGGGGGGCATGAAGCCTGTGTGCATATATGTGAATATGCAGGTATAAAAGTGGGTATTTGCTGTATGTGCATATGTGGAGTTAATATGTAGCCTGTATGGTCACATGTGTTCATATGTATGTGTATATATACCTGTTATATGAGTGGCCTGGCAAACTGTGTGTGAGCTTTCGTGTGTATGTGTGTAACAAGGAATACGTACTTGAAAGCACGCCTGTTCTTTGTTGACTCTTCATGTGAGCCCTTACCTGTGAAGAGGAGTGGATGGGGGTGGGCTGGGGGGAAGGCAGGAGGAGGGGTGGGAGAACTGGTTGGAATGTGAAATGAAATTTAAAAGAATTATAGAAAAATACAAGAGAAACAGGAAAAAAAGAGAAAGTACACCTGTTGTATGTATAGTGTCTCTGTGTGTGTGTGTGTGTGTGTGTGTGTGTGTGTGTGTGTGTGTGTGTATGTGTATACTTGTGTGCATATGAAGGTGTGGTCTGTAACCTTTTGTGTGCACATACATGAATGTACATATATGCCCAGTGTATGGGCTTATGCTGGTAGGCATGTGAGGGAATGTGTTGGGACAAATGTTTTCTGAGGAAAATTTCGCCATGGGGCAGCTGCTGGCCTTAAGCCACACTTGGTCACATGTAAATACCCAAGAAAGTGCACAAATTTTTTGTAGGATCTTCCAGCCTCCATCCTGTCCTCCTTCCCTGAGGGTAGGGATGCCAAGGCATTGCACATTTGTGTTGCTCAGGCCTGGGTCTGGGTTCCCCAAGAAGGGGCTCAGTCATCTCTCACATCAGGGTTCCCAGGTCACCCCTTGAGATGAACTTCCTCTGAGTACCCAACACTGCGGTCTTGACCAGTGTTCCTCGTTTGCAAAGCGTCTGCCTCCCTCTTGCTGTAACCTAAATAAGGACTTCTGGTAAATTCTGCATGGTCAGGGTTTCTGGGGTGCCTGTCCACTGTCATCCCACAAGTCCCTAGCTCAGGGTATCCCAGGCTCTTGTGTCCATGGCAGCTCTGGGGGTCAGGACGTGTGGCTCCACTGTGGGGAGCATGTAGAACAGATGCAAGCCTCTTTCCAACATTCCCTGGAGCTGAGACAGCTATGGCCTAGGGCCTCTAGGGGAGGAGTACTCTGGTGGCTGATCTGTCCAGGGTAGATGTGCTTGCCCGTCTTCCTGTGTGTCAGGTGGAGAGGGTCTGAACCCAGGTTCAACTCTCCAAGAGAAGGCTAGTGAGAAGGGTAGCTCCTCCTCCTGTCTGCACTGCCTGCCGTGCCCATATAGGAAGAGGCTGCTCTCATACTGAGAAGTGGACTTCAGCACTGCCCTAGAGAACCAACGTGCACATACTGAGACACAGGTTCTCAACCAGGAGCCTAGCAGAGGCCTCCTGAGGTACAGTTCTAGCAGCCCTGACATGGAGGACTTGGAGGCCACCGCAGATGACACAACTCAGATGCCCAGATGCCTGGCAGAGACATGACCTCAGGCTTCTCCTGGGAGACAGGGTACCTCCTGCTGAGCACGGACCCCCCCCCACACCAACCTACTTCTACCCCTGCCAGAACACACTTTTTTTTTAAGGGTGGGAGAAATGAGTAGAACTGTGTTCAGGCTCAAGCTCTACAATACTTGCCCTCAGAGACCAGGAAAGTTGTTGCCTCAGAGACGCTGGGACCCCCACCCCACCCCAGAATGCTACCATTCAATGCCAAACACCTCTGGGCCAGATGTTGCAGGACCACAACTGGGGGGTCCTACCTTGTCTCCTAAAGCTGGCTGCTATATGGTCCAAGATGCGCCCCCTCACAAGATGGACAGAGAGTCCTCCTCACCAGGGTAGAGGACAAGGTGTTCCCAATTCTCCAAACACTGAGAGGCCACAGCCAAGGGACCTATAGTGGATGAATGGCTGTGGGTGGTCAGCCTCCAAGGGAAGGATCCTTGCCAGGCACAGAGGCCACGCTCTCATGTGGAGAGAGCCGGCAGTTTGACGATGTCATGTCCATTCAGCCCTGCCTGGATCTGTAGAGCCAAGTGGGCAAGCTGGTCCCCTGACTAAGGACGGTCGGTGCTGGTCTGTTTACCAGGTGGTTCTCTTGAAGTTCCCGCTACAGCCTGGAGACCAGCGCCACACCAGGAAAGAGCGAGGCCATGAGGTGTCAATCCAGACCTCCTGGGCTACAGTGCCAGGGACGAGCAGCCAGAACCTCCCAAAGAACCCCTTTCGGAAAAAAAGGCTGTGAGCTGGGTCCTCCCTCCCCTAAGAGGTGGAACCCGTGGGTGGGAGGTCCCAAGGGTCCGTTCTAAGCTCCAGGTTGATCCCTAAGGACTCACTCCCCTTCCTCGGCTCCAGGAAGAGGGTCCTGATCTAAGGGTGGCTCCCATGGAAGGGTCCACAGATTGTGGAAGAGGGAGGAAGATGCTGGCCGGCAGCTCTCTAGTTAGGTGCCCAGGGATGAGGGGCATTTCCCAGCCACACACAAACAGTGGGCCTGGTAACGCTTTTACTGGGGCAGTCAGGAACTGAGGGGTAAGCAGTCAGGTGTGAGAGTGGGCCATTCCCAGCCACCTACTGTACCTCCTGAGCTCCCAGCCTAAACTGGGAGACCCATGGGCCTCCGGACCGGCCATCAGTAGTAGACAGACCTGCTTTACCACGCCCTCCCTTGTACTTGATCCCCGCCACACCCCCACTTACAGATGCCACCATCACTCTGCTGCTCCTCACTCACAGGGCAGTATCTGTCCCCCAAGAAGATTGGGCAGGGACACCTTTGCTGCCATAGGTAGCTCCTGGGGCCTCCAGGGCCCAGCCTCAACCTCCCCCTCCTGGTTGGAAAAGAACTTCTATAAAACGGTACCGTGTGTGCCAAGGAGCCCTGCCTCATCTCCACTCCACACGAACCCTGAGAGCCAGATCCCAAGAGCACCCTCACGAACCCACACTACTCTATTCCTTCTGTCACTTTAGGAAAGGCCCTGGAACTCCAGCTCCAAACCAGGAACCAGAGTGGGTGTGGCATGGGGGGGCCCAGCAGCCCAGCCCAGTCTCACTTCCTGGGCCCTGCCCAACCCACATCTCCAAAGGGGCCCTCACCGGTGGCAGAGCGTGGGGGAGGCCCACATGGTGTGCAGAGGTCTGAGTCTGTGTCAGACTCCCCCTCTGCAATGTAGGGCCTGACCTTGGCACATGGCGCCACAGCTGCATAACAGCTGCCTAGGGCATCCAGGTTCTCCTTGGACTGGGAGATGCTGAAGCCACTGAAAGAGCGCTCTAGCTCCTCATGGTCCACAGATGGGATGGAGATGGATGTGTCGCTATCCCGCAGGGCACCCTCAGGGGGCCTGCAGGCTGGGGCGCCCTCCAGCCTCAGGAATTCGGTACTGGCCCGGTTGCCCCCACCGTAGGCAGACAGCGACCGCTCGTGTGCAGGGGGTGGTGGGATGCGTACCAGCGAGCCATGGTCTCCCACAGGGGAGGTGCCGTGGCGCTGGTGGCTCTGCTGCCACGAGGTGGATGGAGGACACTGGGTAGGGGGCATGGCTGGGGGTGCAGCGTAGTTCCTCTGGCCTGTAGAGCTGGTGGAGCGGACGATCTTGATGATGCAGCCATGCTTGTCTGCGTGGTCGCGGCTGTCCTCTGGGCTGTGGTAGGGTGGTGCCGGCTCAGGTTCCTTGGCCCCAAAATAGGCCTCTGTCTCTGCTGGTGGGATGCCCATCCGCTGCGTGTAGATGCTCACCAGGAAGTCTAGCTTCTTTTCCATGGATAAGACCTGCAAGAGTGGAAGTCGCTTGGGCTGGGCTTTTGAGGAGAGGTCCCAGGATGCACCCAGGTGAGAAGGGGCAGAGGCAGGAACCCGGAAGCTGCCTCTCTTCTACCCCAGCGTCCGTCCTACAGCTCAGCCTCTGAGCTTAGTGTGAGCCTGATCTCAGGTCAGCTGACAGAGGCACTCATGTGGTAGCTGCTAAGGGCCCATTTTCAGGAGAGTAGAGATTGGTACGCCCTTAATCCCAGCACTCGGGAGGCAGAGGCAGGTAGATCTCTGTGAGTTTGAGGCCAGGCTGGTCTGGTCTACAGCACCAGTTCCAGGATAGCCTCCAAAGCTACAAACAGAAACCCTGTCTCAAAAAAAAAAAAAGTGGGGAGAGGGGGGAGAATTTGGCCATGTGCAACTTCCGGCAAGTTCCACAGTGGTTACCACTGCCAGAGGACCCTCAAGTGAAAATCATGCCCAACAGCTACCCTTCTAGGGTACGTCCAAGCTCCAGATACTATGAGAAGGGAAAGTGCCACACCAGGGGCATCTCACAGAGCTATGCCCCCCTCTTCCTGCATCTTCTCTTATGCCTGGGCTACTCGGCAGCCACAGGCTAACAAAAATGAGACCTGAGAGACAGCAGAGGACATTCCCCTCCCAGGCTTCTCCCACCTGTTTCTCCACCTTCCCAAGCCGTCCCATCATGCTGGGGTCTTCCGGCAGCTCCGTCTCCGCTGGGCCTTTGGTGCGGTCCTTGTCCGTTATCGTTGGGCCCCGCCCCACAATCTGGTCCACTCTAGCGGGAATAGAGACCCAGCCCCCAAGTATGAGTTTGAGAGGGTATGATCAGGCCCCTGCCCCTTCTCCCTGGGCTAACCCACAGCCACCCAGATCCGAGCTCTGAACCCTATCCAGAGCCGACCGGGGGAGCAGCAGGTGCCAGGCAGATGGACACTGGTGCCTCGTGATCTCAGGCTGCCTCCTGACACCTTGGGTCCTGTTTCCTGTCTGTTTCCATCCCCCATGGGATCTGGCACATTAACAAGGAGTAAAGGGAAAAATCTCTCCCCCAAGGGCCCTCTGTAGTATGGCTCCATCCCCATTGGTCTCGCCTCATAGATCTTCCCAGGCCCAGACCCAGCTGGTCTCACAGCATACTGGGACCCGGGGGAGTCAGAGGTGGTTGGTGGGCATCCAACCGAGGGACCAGAGTAGGGGAGGTTGTACCTTTGCCCAAAGCCAACCCCCTGCCAGCTTTACTCCCACATTAATGTGCCATAGAGTTCCTTGGACCCCAGTGGGTATGACGGGGGACAATGTTAAATGTCTGCAGCAAGGACAACAGAAGCAGGGAGGTGGTGAGTGTCAGCTCCATGCGTCGGGACAAGGGGAAAGGGAACAAGGTCCACATAGGAACTGCCAAAGCACAACCAGGGGAGAGATGAGCAATGCCAACCAGGGATTTTTTTGAGGTGGGGGGTCGGAGGGTATATGCACCCAAATGTGCTGATGCATGCATGTGAGTGTGATGCATGTGTCCTCACATTGTGTGTGGGGGGTATACTCACACTCATGTGAATGTACATGTGTGCACTTAAGTGTTGGGTGAGATGAGGAATTCAACTGAGCTGATTGGTGATGATACCCTAATGCCAGCAAGAAGGGAAGGAATTCCTTCGTCCTCAGAGGATGGGCGTTCTTATCTGCCCAGTGTGGCACCGGGAGATCCATGGCATGTTATGAGGGCATGTAGGGCTGTGGCAGGGCTGGTGGGTGTCACAAGAGTGAGCTTGGGCTGGGATCCGTAGGCCACTTGAAAACAAAAAAGCCCGCATAGAGCCTGTAAGCTCACTGCACCCACAGTACGGCTGAGCGAGACTTCTCAAGATGAGCTGTGCAGCCCCACACGCAAAGCAACACCCAAGCAGGTACGTGTCAGCAGACTCTCCCTCCAGTTTCTACAAAACGGGGTGCCCTGCCTGCTTTTGTGGCAACTCCAGAGGAAGGTAGGCTCAGGCTTGCATCAGCCAGGGGCAGCCTCTGCATGCTCCGCTGGACCCATGCTGGGCTCATGCAAAGGAGGGTGGAAAGGGATGGCAGGTGGGACCTTCTGGCTCCAAGCAGATGCCAGTGACAACGGCAAGGGAACGGGTTCCCTAGTGTCCCACTGTCAGCATGGTCCAGGCACAGACGCACAGCCCCTTCACCCCCGCCACATGACGAGCCATCTGCCTGGTGGATCTTGGGTGGGCTTCAGGTTGCTGCAAGGTGGCCCAGGCAAGGGTCCTCTGAGGACCTTGTACCATCTCCTCCCCCGGGACTCAGGCCGGAGCGTCAGACTCAATCCCCGGGTGCTTCTCACCTCTTGGGTGACGTGTGCCAACTGTGCTGTTAAGACCTTCCTGTATGTGTCTGGACATCACCCTGCTGCAACACAGGAGAAGGCTGAGGGGGACTCTGAGGTCTGCAGGGCCTTCCCAGCCTATGGCCTGGATGATCAGCCCACACGGCCGGCAGAAAGACCCAGGGGACTAAGTGGGCTTCCGTCTCCTTGTCAGGTAGTGTCACGGACCACCCTTAGTCTGAATGTCATCTGACTAAGAGCTGCCTCACTCCCTGCTACCCCAGGGTCCCCTTCTCATGGACTGATATGCTCATCACATTGGCATTTGACCTCATGGCCTAAAGGGTGGACAGAGGCTCCATCTGCCAGTTCCAATTTCCCAAACTCTCTGAGCTGCCCAGAGCTCTCCTGTCCCCAGCTGACAGACAGGGCAGTGTCTACCTGCCCTCCTGAGCCTGCTCTTGAGAGTTTTTGCTTTTCCTGGACAGCCAGGCCCACCAGAGGGAGACAGGGAATTATCCGAGTGGTCCTAAGGTAGCCAGGGCTTGAAGCCTCTATTAACTACATCAGAGCTGGCTTTTGCCATCTGACTGTTCTCTGCCCACCACCCCCCCATCTGCCATCTGCCATCTGCCAATCAGCTGAGGGACAGGATAAGGTAGTCTGCCATCTTTCTTATCAATGGCATCAATGATGGTGGTGACAACTTGAAATAATACCAGAACTGACAGAGGCAGCTTGTTGCTAGGTGTACTGTGTGTATGTGTGTGCGTGTGTGTGTGTGGGGGGAGGGTGTTTCTCATCTATTTCTGCCCACCCACTGCAGTGCTGGGAACTGAACCCAGAGACTTAACACATGGCAGACAAGTGCTCTACCACCAAGCTACATCCCCAGTCTTCATGCATTCTTCAGAACAATTTTGGAGGCGGGTGCATCTCACGCCTAAGGAAGTTGCCCAGGAAAGCGTGCACCCACCCATCTGCTTTAATCTACATAGAGCCAAGGTCAGGACCATGTGCATGGTCCTGTGTGCAGGGGCAAGTGTGAAGGGCCTGAGCTGGTCAGGGTCACAGTGTCACTGGCCATCGAGGTCCTCTGCTTTAGCAGCCTCAGCAGATGTCATGGAGAAGTCCCTGGAAAGGCAGTCCCTGTAGATGGAGGACTCGGGACGCTACCTAACAGCCCTGGCAGGGACAACAAGCCCCTTCGTAAGAGAGAGAACCCAGATGCCCCCTGCCCTGTGGAAAGAAAATGCAAGGTGCTGCTCTCATGCGGCCTAGAGCAAAGGGGCTGGCCATTCAGACAGGTTGGGAGGAGGGCAGTGCATCCTAACCTAGGTGAGTACTGGGGTGACTCTCTCGAAGGGGCCGTGGGTCCTTTGGTAGGGTACTTCTTGTGCCGGGGAGTTGAAGGGGGTGGGGGGCCCACAATCATATCTATCCTGGCAGCATAAACAAGAAGAGAGACACCAGCAAAACACAATCATAAACAACCCAGGGTGACTCGCTGGGCATGCACAGAAACACGGAACAACTTGACAATAGTGATTCTTCCGGCAGGCGTGCTCAAAACGGAGCGCGGCGGACCCACACTCTGGCCCTCACATCCGTCAGGCTTTTCCCACGTCCCAGGCACTGTGTCCAACCTGCCCACTGAACCGCAGATGGAGGACAGACAGGATGGATTGATGCTGGGAGCTAAGTCCCAGAAGGGTACTACAGAGCAGCAGGACTCTGCCTCAGAGGCCGGAGGCACAGGGCTCCTCATTGGCGTCTGATTCCCAGACAGAAAGAGAAGGAAAAGGGAGTGTGGAGTGGAAGAGACTGTGCAGCAAATAGTCATGGGGATGGGCGTGGCGCTAGGCTAGAGGCTGGGGAATTCTCACTCACCCACATGCGACACATGTACAGCTTATGCTCTGGGGAAGCCAGTCAGAGGCCCCCAGCCTGAGCTGGGGGACACCTGCCTGGCTTCCACTTATGAGAGCAGCTCATGGCCTAGACCCCCTGCCTCTATGACATCTGCCTTTGCTGCAACTTTCTTTGACCACAAGGAGTTCCCCAGACTGTCTTTGTCGTCCTTACTCTCTGTCTAACCAAAACCCATGTGCCAGTTCCAGGACTGAAAAGCTGGGTGTGCCCCCTGCCTTAGGAGACAGGCTCCTCACAGGCATCACAAACACACATGCGTGTAAACGGATGTATGTGGCTAAGGGTGTGTGCCTAGGAACACGGGGAGCAGCGACACGCTGGAACAAGTTGTAGATATATATGGTCTGTGCATATACCTGTGTCCTCCTGCACATGGGGAATGAACACTTGTATGTGTTGAGGATGTGTCCCTGTGAGCATGTTGGGGGTAGGCTGAGATAATCATGGACCACGTGTCTGCATGTGCACACCGCACATGTTGAATGCATGTGTATATGTGGGTGGACCAAGGCCTTACTCATGTGTACACAATGCATGTGTATGTAACTTCTAGCGTAAGCAAGCCTGTTCTCACACACAGACAAGCCAGCGGTTGCCTCTGATGTGCTTCCTACTCAGAAAGTAGCCCCCCCCCCACCATGAGGAAGCAGATTGCTGTATCTTGGAGGAACAGATCCAGGGTTCCCAGCACTGCCTGGATGGCAGGACTCACAGAAGCCCTGTGTTTCCATCTCTTCACAGAAAACACTCCTGTCTCAGCATGTATGTGCATGCCACACACATGCATACATATGTACCAACACACATATGCACATACACAGCATAGCGCTTGGCGCCTATGCATACACCCGCACTTCATATGCACATGTTTGCACACATATATGCACACATGCATGCATACATAGACACATTCACACACATGTGCACACATATGTGCATGTGGACAAACACACACACACACTCACCACCACAGTGCAGGTGAGTGGGAGAGAAAAGGGAGGGACAGACCAAAAAAAATACTAAAAACAGAAAGATCGTGTGAAAACACAGCAGAAAGCAATGAGAAGCCAACAAGGCGGGAAGAGACCTCCAATGGTGGCACTGGCCCTGTTCTGCACACCTGTCACCCAGCCCTTGGTGCCCCTTGTGCCACGCCTGGTTTTGTCCCGGAGGGCCCTGTTCATGCCCAGACTGGACAGGCGGGGGCTCTTGCCTGGACTGCAGGCTCTTGATGCGGGACAACATGTCCAAGTGTCCAGCTGAGTACTGTTCGATGACATCCATCACGTCATATGGGCGCAGACTCTCCTTGAACTTCCGCTTAGATACCAAGAACCGCATAACGCTGCAGAGATGGATAGATCGTGAATTCCAGACAGAGACTACACTGCCAGGGGCCAGCTCCCATATCCAACTGCCTGTCGCCCTCAAACAACTCCAAGACCACACAATTCCTGGGAAGCAGCATCCATTCTCATCTGGGCTACCCACACACCCTGCCCCACCATGGGCTGGCTACTCAGTGCTCAGCCTCATGACAATCCTATTCTCCTTGGAGCCGCTGGTATGTGGCAGCTGTTGGTTTTCTGAAAAAAACCCTCCTGCCCTTGTCCTTCATTTCATTCACACAGTCAGAAGCTTGGCTCTCAGGTCCCCAGACAGCTCCACCAGGGCTCCATGGCCCTCTGGGAACAAGATGACAGGCATGGGAGCTAGAATGGGCAGGGGTCCTCCTCGGGACTCCCTGTGCTTTCCCAATAGTTACGGCCTTTGGTGACTCGGCAAGATCCCTTGAGGTCACTGATCTCATGCAGGATGGACAGGAGTCCCTCACCACACAGCTCTGATGCTGACTTTGAGGCCAGGGGTGAGATCTTCAGTCACAAACTCGCAGTTACAGCTCTTGTTGTCCTCCACAATGTCCTCCCCGGGGAGGCTTGCTTCTGGGTGGAAGGAAGCACAGGCTATGAGAACACCATCACGACAAGGTGCAATCCCCAGACTGACCACCGGGGGCCACTCAGGCTCCCCCCAGGAGACCCCTTCGATGGCTCCGCTGCACTGGAGTAACCATCCCGCCACCCTCCCCATCCCCCCACCCCCGCTTCTCTGAGGCTCTCCTTTGTCAGTCTCTTCTCCAAAAGCTATTACCTGGACAACACGAGGGCTTAAAGGACACCCCTGCCAACAGATGCATGGATGGCCACATTGTGGTCACTGTTCAGCCAAAGAAATGAAGACCACTATCACACTCCCTTCCCCCCGAAGCCACCAGCCTTGGGGTGGCAGCTGACCCACCTTCCGAGTTCTGCCGGGATGCGGCACCCTTGATGCGGAAGGCCTGGCGTGCCCGGCTGCGATCGCCAAAGCTCCAGCTCTTGGGCACCTTGCTTGGGCTGTCGTCGAGGCTCTGGTCAGCACTGGGGGACCGCCGGACCGTCTGGGCCTGGGGAGACCCCTTCCCCTTGGCAGCCACACCTCGGGGGCTGGAGAAGACACGATCTTTCAAACTGACCTTCTGACTGTTTCCAGGATAACCGACCGACCAGCAGGCAGAACCGGCATAGACAGACACACACAGAAGAAAAAAAAAAAAAGCAAGAGAAATCACTCTGGAAACAGCAAGTCATGTCTCTTGGCAGCTGACGCCCCCCCACCCCGCCCCGCCCCACCCCGCTCCACCCCACAAAGCCAGGAGGGAGATGCAAGTCCAAAGAGTAACCGACCACGCTGGGGAAGAGGGAGCAGTGGTTGGAGAAGCACAGGGTAGAGGTGAGGAGCCGCACGGGTGTGGCCAGACCTGGAGAGGCAACGCGGCGGGACTCCTAAATCATTCAGCCATCACCACCACAAGGTGCCAGAGCTCTCCCCACACTGCCCTGTCAGCTTCCCCAAATGACTCCCAGACACTGGAGACTGGATGTCTTCCCTGGACCTTTGTCTGCATTAGCCCAGCCAATGGCTTTCCCTGTTGCCCATTCCAACTGCCCCTGGAGTGTCCTGTTATCCTATGACTTCCTGTCCCAGGATCATCAGAGATCAGGGCTACTGGAAGCTAATGTGTCTAGATCCAACTTTTTCTTTGAGTCCCAGGAACTGTCTAGCCTCTATGTGGGGCTGGTGCCCAACATGTCCTGTCTCTGGACTTCAGACTCCTCCCCTTGGGATGTTTCTAGGAGGACATCGGGGATGAGGTTACTCAGAGACTAGGCTTCTACTATGTCTGGACTGGCTGTCCCAAGCCTCAGCCAGCCCCAGGCGGTGGCTGTAGAAATGGGAAAATGACAGCCAGCCCCTGCCGAAAGCTCTTTCCCCCTGGGCTACTGTTTACAGACTCTAGAAGGTCCTAGACCCTCCCTCACCCTGTGTTCTTCATAATCCCAGAGTTCAGCAGCTCACTGTGATCTAGACATCTGGTCTGTGACTAGGGTGCTTCAGACAGTAGTGGCCTTCACTCATTACTCCGGGGGCAACATGCCTCAGTCCAGGCCAGCTACTTTTTCTACTGACGACTCCACTATAACTCCAGAGGCAGAAGGCAGCAAGTCTCTTGTGAAGTGGGACTCACTTGTTCAGCCACACAGGAGTCACAGGACTTCCCAGAGTAGCTTCAGGCAGGGTCTATGGCAATACCTAGCAGCCATAAGGGTAACTCCAAGGAAGTTTCAATGCTTAGTATTGCTCATCATCAATGCCTCAGAACCCAACTTCACACCCAGCCAGTGACCCACCATGGGCCACCAGCCAGAGAGACATGCCCAAGAGATAATCACAGAGGAGATGGCCACAGTGCTAAGTCCATCCACTTGGGACTGTGGATGGGACTAGTGGCCCTCGGCACCCCATTGTGACAGTAGGCAACTTAGGAGACCATCCTTGCCTTCTCAAACTCTTTAAAGGAGGAGGAGGGAGAAGAGGAAGCCAGAGGCACAAAACCCACACAGGGAAACTGAGGCAGCTTCAAAGTGCCCTGTGTCCTGGAAGCATCAGGAGCCAGTGGTATCTGCTAGCTTTGGAAAATGTCCCTGAGTCGAGACTTCTGTGCTTCACTGAAACGCTGGCAGCCACACAAAGGCATGTAGTGGCCAGGGGCACCCAGAATCCACCTGACCTTCTGGCCCCCTTCCAAACAGAAGATTCTAGTTGGGTCTAGGGAAAACTGGATATTCAGGGGTCTGTGGCTTCCAAAATGTTTTCTCCTCCCATGGGCCCCTCTATCGCAGGAACTATTGAAGACCCAAGACAATGTGTCTCTCATGGTCCTCCCAGGGTAGACAGGGTAGAGCAGCTAGGCTGGGGGAGTTCACCCTTCCTAGTGTCACTCAGGGGTTCTTCCTCTGTCCCACCACCCATATCCCAGCTCACACAGTGAAGGAAGGGAAATGAGCCATCACTAAGCAGCCTGGCTTTGACCGCCCTGAATCAAGTTACAGAGCTGCCTGGGGGTCCCAGGAGTCACTCCGTGTTGCAACAATTTATAACCAGTGTGCATTTAACTCTGGCTGTCAGGCAGACTGAACTTGCTATAGCTGGTGATGTCGAGTCAGGTTCTCACTGCCTCCCGACACCCAGCCTCTGCTACATCAAGAGGGACTGAAACAGATCCCTCCGGTCAGGTTACCCAACGTCAGCCACTCTCCCTTCCTAGTGGTGACTTCTTCCACAGCCACCAAGAGAAGTTGTGAACCACACACACAGAGACCTGGACTCTAGCTCCACATAAGGGCTGCGGCCCACAGCGGAAGTGCAGCTGCCAGGAAAGAGGCCCCCACCCTTATTCCTGGTTCCTCAGTCTCCAGCTCTTCACACTGTCCCTTCCCTAGAAGGAGGCTCTGACAGAGAAAGGGACAAAGTGGACTGCGGTTGACATTCAGGCCCCACACAGTCTTCCACATCTCTGGGGCCTGGACAGAGGCCGTGGAGTCTCAGGGACTCCTCCTTACCTCCCAAGCCACCAAGCCAAGATCACAGCAAACATCAGGCAGGAAGCTCTCCAGAGCATCCTCTAAAGCCCCAGCAAGAAAGCCCGTAAATGACTATCCTGCCTGTGAGTTAGGAGTTAGCCAGGAGTCAGCTCAGGAAGACTCTGGGGAAGCAAGCAAACCCCAGCCTCTCTCTTCCTGCCACCCTCCCCAGAGTAAAATTCAAAAGGAAATCAGCCATGAGATGGTCCTCGCCCTAGTCAGTGCATGGGGACCCAGACTCAGCAATGCAGGGAGCCAGCATCCATAGATGAACTGCCCAGCCTGTGTATGGACCAAGGATGCCCAAAGGATAATCCACAAAAACACGCACAGCAAGGCGGACTTTGGCTGGGCTCCCGCAAGCCCCATCCTTCCCAGCCCTTCTGGTCTTCAAGCAGCCTGACCTTTAGCTTCTGCCCTTAGGGTCCAACCTGTGGCCAGAAGCACCTGAACACAGATGCCATGGGCAAGCAAGGCAGCTTCAGCCAGGGCCTGAGCAGGCCGCCCTCCCAGGGCAGCCCAGACACCCAGCTCCCTGTCTGCAGCTGCAACACTCTCCCCATAAGCACCCACCTCCAGTGCACAGAGCCAGCAGAGAGGCCTGTGAGGTGAGGAGGTGGCCTTCAAGCCCCTCTCCCAGTGGAGAAGGACACAGAGCATGCACGGGTGCAAATGCACAGCATGCTGCTCGGCACAGCTGGCCACATGCACGTGATGGGGGTGGGAGGCTCCCCCATGCGGGGGCCACCACAGCTGCCTGCATATGGCTGGGTTGCACCAGCCAGGAAAGGGACAGGCATGGGAGGGCAACCAGGAGGCAGGGGTCCCAGAGCAAGCAGGACAGATGCCTTCACACATGGACGACAGACAGGGGAATGGGACGGAAAAGGTGTAATCAAGGTGCAAAGGGTTAGGAGGCTTTTCACCATCCCGTTTCCAGTCTTCCCTAAACCAGGCCTGCAAGTCAGAAGGGGGAGACATGGCCTCTGGCTTTTGGGGGCCCTCAAGAGCCCAGAACACAGCGAGCTGCCTCCCTCAGTGAGGTGCCGGCTAAGGGTCGGTCCTTAATGCCTAGTAGAGGTACCAGAGTGGCCGGCCCCAGAGGAAAGGTTTCCTGAGGGACATTGGACTGTTTCTACAGCAGTAACCCTGGCCAGCCAGCCCCTGCTCTGACAGGAGGGGTCTCCATCTAGAGTTGGAGGCCAGGCGCCCAACTCTGCCCTGTGCTTAGGCATCATGGGACTCAGAGTTGGGTGGGCACTGTGCCGGCTCATCCTGAACCTCTAGTAAGCAGGGAGGGCAGGAGCGTGCAGCGTGGTCAGTCCGTGCGAGCATTGCGTGGTACCTAGAGTGTCCGGGGCAGCATCCACACAGGCACCCTCGGCACGGTCTGCCTTTACTGGAAATGAGGAGAGCATAGTTAGTCCCGGGGGCGGCAACAGGACCCAAACAGAGAGCAGGTAACTGAGGCACTGTGACCACCCAGGGAGTTGAGGCTCACAGCGCCCCCAGCCGCAGTGTCTGCGTCTGAGCAGGGACAGAGAGAGAGAGAGAAACGGGTGCGCGCGAAAGTCTTCCGCGGCCTGGGAAAGAAAAAAAAAAAAACAGTCCTCTATTTTTGGAGAAAAAGAATCCCCGTGGTTTTCCTCCAAAAATACCTTTTCCTTCCAAAGCCAGAGTGTGGGTTCATGTTTTAAGAGATGTATTATTTTTTGCTATATCCATGCCAACAAAAATAATAATAATAACACATGAACCAAGATGTTGCAGGAGGGCAGGTGTGGATGGAGATAGAGTGTGATGTGACTGCCGCAAAGCAAGCTCTTTTTAGGGAGGGAAAAAGAAATGTGCAGTTTAGCTTTACAAACCAATTGGCAAGCGGCGAGGTTTTGCCACACCAGCCTACAGCCCCGTTGGCAGTGGACTTGGATTTATCCGGGAGGTAACCGCTGTCCTCAATTAGAAGGAAGTTCAAGAGAAGAGGCTTGGGGACACACTCGTATTTAGAAGGACTGACCAAGTACATTCATCTGGGATTCCACGAGTCCACCTCATTGCCATGGCCTGAGTCAACAGAGCTCCAAGGAGGTACCTGAGGTACCTTAGCAAAATCCTAGCCAACACTGGCCCTTTCCAAGAATTCCCTCCAAACTCTTGAGATTTGTTTTGCATTAGAACATGCAAAAAAAACTTTAAGTAAAAAAAAAGAAGAGAAAGAAGAAGAAGAAAATGGTGTCTAAGACCAGTCTGGTCTACAGAGTGAGTTCCAGGATAGCCAGGACTATGCAGAGAAACCCTGTCCTGAAAGAAAAAGAAAGAAAGAAAGAAAGAAAGAAAGAAAGAAAAAGAAAAAAGAAAAGGGGAAAGGAAAAACAAAGAAAATAACAAAACACTCTTTTTTTCCTCCAAGCCTTCCCTCTTCCTATGTAGTTAAAACAGCACTTTGCAAATTTTGCACCTGAGGAAACCAACATATAGGACCATCTCAAGTCAGAAATGAGCCCCAGGAAGAAAGTGTTCAGGGAACCATTTCCCACTACATATTTATTCAAACCACTTCCACTCTCTGCTCTGCGTCATTGACGCACGGGCCTCTCCACTTAGGAGCAAAGGACATAGTTCTCTAACTAGCGTAAACAGAAATTGGAATTAGAACTAGATTCTGGAAAGCAGGCTAGGCTAGTCGCCAAACTGTTTGTACTTCTGCCCAAGCATCCACATACGTTTGACACTCTCGGTAGACAAGCAGCTTCCGGCTCCTCACATACTCTGGGGATGTAGGACACAGGCTGGACGCATGCTACCGACCTACTACAGGGTGCTGTTGCCAGCAGCATCCCCTATGACTCAACCCCGGGTTAAACAGCCTGTTAAGCAAGTGAGCCTACCCCCTTGGACCCTGTCCATCCTAACAACAAAAGACAGGTAGTCCATTCACAGCACCTTTGACAAATGTCTTTTTTGTTCCCTAACAAAAGAAGCCAGGACCCAAGACTCTGTTTTGCAATAGAGACCATGTGTGATAGTTGTGCCGTCTAGTGGGGTAGCCACTGAACACCCCTGGCCACTGAAACTCGGGAATGAATACCAACTGTGTCCACTTTAACGAATGCCTTGTCCTTCCTGTCTGGGAAAACATGGCTTGAGCGCCTGACAAGATCTGAGGAAGAGAAAGCTTCTTCCGCAGCCTTCTCTGATTGGTGGGTGCCAAGGACTCCAATTTGTGCTGGTGTGACATTGTTCATTCCCTCCGACCCCATTTTTTTCTGCCCCATCAGTAAAGTGAAGCTCTATCCTATCTAAGAATGGTTGGCCAATCCCATTCCCAGGCAGATACCAACTAGCCAGCATACAAGGAACCCAAACTCAGTGGGGAACAGATACTCCCACAGACACTGGCTAAGGCCAGACAGGGTACCAAGACACACACACAGACACCTCCATCTGTGAAGAGTGGGACCATGTGGACAAGAAAGGAAAGGCTGGGGTTAAGGCTCCTCTAGGCATAGGGTAGGAGACAGGGAGGAAGAGGACAGGCCCACAAAGGACAGTCACAGGAACTACAGTCACAAGAAACACCAGTACAGCACAGGCCTGAGCTCCCACCTGCCCTGGATCCCCCAACCCAGATGCCCCCAGAGATTCCAGCCTAGTCATATAGGTCTCCTCAGGAACAAACCGCCCCGCGCACCTGTGCCCTGAACCACAAGATGCTGGGAAAGGTTATCTTCAGCAGCTGAGGCAGAGGTCCTGGGTTCACACTTGCCCAGATAGATAATGCTAGCTGATACTTTCGGGCAAAGTGCAAGGCTGTGCCTAGAGCCGGACAGAGCAGTGGCCACCGACTTCTGCTAGACTGGCTGAGTCCAAGGACAGCAAGACTCTGGGGAAGTAGGCTTGCCCCCACACACTTAGCATTTCAGACAAGAGCCCAGGGACAGGCTCAACCCACTATTTTCACGTAGGTAGCGATTTCCTGCACACTTCCTATGTTCTTGATACTTAAAGGGGGAGGGGTGGTTATAGCTGCCCCTGGCAGAGGCCAGAGATCCACCCCACCTTCCATTACCTGGCCAGCAGGTTATACAACCCAATGAAGGAGCTGGGGGTCTTCACTGGCAGAAACCACTCCTCACTCCCTCAACACTCAGCCCTCCAGGTGCCCCCAACCTCCTTGAGGAGCCCCAGTGTCCGTGCAAAGGTCCTGCACACCCTTCCCAGGGATGGCAAATGTGCTGCCCCCCCCCAACGGAGCATTTTGGGAGCAGAGTGTCCTGGGAGGAGGACTGGGTTGGTGGGCACTGGCCCTCAGGGAAGGGTGTGGAGGTACAGGCAGGCAGGGCCACTGACACGCGGGGAGGACAGAGGAGTGGCGGGGTGGAGAGCAGGGGAGCCACGGAACATACCGGAGAGCCGGGGGAGGGGGGGACGGGCTCCCGTGGGTCCTCACCTTGAGTCCTGATTTCAGGGTCAGCACCTCATCCCAAAAGACAGAGCAGACGAGAAAGGGGCCCAAGAAGGGCAGTGACAGTGATTAAAAGCACTTGGGGGCAGCAAGATTTTTCCAGATGGGGGCAGAAGAGGAAGAGAGAGAAAGAGAGGCTGAGACGAGAAACGCGCAGGGCGTGCTAAAGCTACGGCGACAAGTGCAAGAGACTGCTGGAGCCCAGAAGCCTCCCGGGGAACTTGCTCCCAGTCGGGGTGCGAGTGTCAGGCAGTCAGGGCAGCGTGGAGACAAGACAAAAAGCCTCCAGACCTATCACCCACCAGGGCAGTCTCGGTCCACTTGGGTGGCACAGCCGAGGGTTAGGCCAATCTCAGGCCTGGTGTCCAAGACCAAAGAGACTCCCAGGCTCAGGGTCATTGGAAACAGCGCTGAGTGAGGGACAGACCAGAATAGCCCCCGATGGACAGTGAGGAGTTGATGTGGGTGCCAGCGGCAGTGAGGGTGTCAGTACTCTCCTGTTTTACCCACATCGAGGCCAGGTGAGGCCAGCTCTCTTACCTCCACTTGTCAACAACCAAGACTGCACTACCCTGATTGCCCATCTCTCTCCAGCTAGTTTTCTTAGGGGCCAGGGCTCCCCATCATAGGTCGTCCCTCTAGCTGATTTGGGAAGCCAGTCTTGGCAATTCAGGGCACGACCCATAGGTTCTCCTTTTGTGGTGTGGGAGAGGAGGACAGTGTCCTTCTCCAGTGGATAGAGGGTGGGTTCGGCCTAATTCCACCCCCGCCTCTGCTTAAGAGCAATATATATATTAAGTCTGGGGGCCATAGCCACACTGCACCTTACGGACAGGTTACTTGGGGGAAAGGGTAACTCAGCCTAACGGCCTTGGAGACCCCAGGCATATGCACACCAAACTCAAAAATCTGTGAGATGGTCTTTCTTTGCTTATAAGTGCCAGGACAGCACGGTCTGTTTCTGTCTTTCTCTACCAGGAGGAACTCACACTGGAGCCCTGTCTAACCAGCCTGAGCACGTGGAACCTGGGAGGCCAGCAGGGACCAGGAGAGCGGGCAGTGAGGTAGGAATCTCCATGGAGGCATGAGAGGGGATGGGGCATCTCAACCTCCTCAGGAGGACTCTGGCTCTCTCCCACCCAGGGGCTGTCTATCAGGATAGCAGGAACCTCTCCCCTCTGCCAGCATCTGACCCTGTACTCCCCCCTCCCACTAGAGTGCTTGGGATTCCCAACTGGGCCGGCCAATACCTGCAGGGCACATAGGAATCTGAGCCTCAGAGTCCCCTGTGGGCCGTGTTGGGGAGAGATGACCTCAAGAAGCCCCCACCCATTTGCTGTCCGGATCCCTGTGAGGAGGCTGTAACTGAGCAGTGACCCTGGATGTGTGCCAAGGCACACTATCACACACTGCACACAGAAGCACACATGGGGTCCCATGGCAGCCCTGCCCCCGTGACACATGTACAGTGAGGGGGCAAGATGAGCGCAGCACACATCAGGGCAGCTGGAGGCGCACACATCAGGGCAGCTGGAGGCAGGAGGGACTGACCTTGGTGATGGCTCTGGCTGTGGCTCCTTCCTTCAAACAGAGGAACAGGGAGTTAGTAGACACCCACCTCCGGCATCCCCACGGCATATCCAGTACCCCAGGAACGGGGACCTCCCTCGGTACCCTTTAGGATCCCTCTGATCTACTCAGGTCCTCAGCCTCAGACCTGACACCTGTCCTCATGCCCACAGATTAGGTTGTATGCAATAAGATCCGATGCAAAGAGCCATCCTCCTAGAGTATCTGTTCTCTTGATGAGGCACTACAAGGCCCCGGAGCAAGGCTCGCGGGAAGGAAGGGACTGCCAAGGGAGCTGCGATCCTCTAACCCAGAGGGCTCTTTTATTTGAGATTAATGGATAATCATTTCAGCAGACTCATACGAGCATGATAATAAAGTATCAAAAATCCGCGGCTGAAGAAAGCTCTTGACTTAATGGGATGTCCATCCTTCTGTTCAGTTTTTCAGTGGGAACAGGAATCAGCCAAGAACTTTGCCGTGGTCCATGATCAGTGTTTGTTTCAAGGCCAGTAGTCATCCCCAGGCCCTGATTTACTTGCAGGGCTATTTTTTTGTTGGGATTGGTTCTTTCTAGTAGTGATAACTAGATGGTGGCCGGACCTTATTTAGCTGATAAGGAAAGATGAGGAGTGGCCCCTGTCACCCTCAGCCGTATAGTGCCAGACAAGTCTTTTGTGTGACAAGGATTTGCCACTACATTTCCAAATACTGTGCACAATAGCTACTGTACCACTATGATGTGGGCAGAGAAGTTAAAGCAGAGGAAAACGGGGTTCAGCCAGGTTCCGGAATCTCCTGAGGATAAGCCCAAGTCACTTCAGTTCCCTCCATGGCCCTCATGGAGGAATCACACGCCTGTGAGGGTCTAGCCCAGCAGCCCTGCTGGGAGCTCAAACGGCCTGAACAGCTGAGGAGGGCATGTGCACACCCCTACCCACCCTATCGGCCCCCAGCTGCGTCTAGAGGAAGTTAGACATTTGAATTTTCCTTTCTTGGCTTCGGGGGCCACAAATCCAAAGTCAAGGTGTGAGTAGTCACTCCTCCAGTGGACCAGGGAAATGGCTGCCTCTTCCAGCTTCGGGGGGGGGGTGTTCTCGCATCATTGGCTAACAGCTTATCTCTCAAATTTCTTCTTCCATCTTCCCCATCTGGTATCCTGTGCCTCCTCTCCTGACCTTCACGCAGAGAGTCACATAGGTGCTGAAGCTCTTCACTTTACAGACTTAGCAAGGGCCTTTTTCCAAAGTAAGGTCACAGTCACTCACAGACACGATTTGGGAGTCAGTGCTCATGCACCCCCGTTTGTGTACATGTGAGATATACCATTCGCCCCTAAATTCCTCAAGTCTCAACCCTCTCTGCAGCATCAGCTCCGTGTTTAAAAAAAAGTCACTCAACTGTCTGTTAAACCACATACTTGAGGTTATCAAGACTAGTGTGTTTGTGGGAAAGGCCTCTGCACACAGGCATGGGTCTCAAAAGTAAATCATTCATCTAGTGGCTGTGATGGCAAGACAAGCACAGGGTGACAGCTCCTTTCAAAATGAAAAGGTTGATAAAGGGGGTCCCTGGCTACCAAAGTTTGAATCCCAAATGGCAAATTCTACTTAGATTCAAGGGTTATTAAAATCTAACGCCTGGCCCTGCTGATCTCTACTTCTGCTGTGCTAGGTGCAGTATAAGTGACTGTAGGAACACTCCCACACACACGCACACACTCACATTTGTAACCATCTACAATACTGCCTATATTTCACTTGTCTCTGTCCTGTACAGTCCATTCTAGCCGTGTCTCTGCTGCCCAGAATTTTGTGGTACACCGAGGAATCTCAAGAGTGAATATTACTAGTCACAGGGGGGTCCTCTGTGTAATCCTGATGTGGCCCAAGGTGGATGGCACTAGTCAGCAGTGTCTTAATGTCGGACACTGAAGTGACCCATCGTGGGATTTACTGGTCAGGAGAGTCCACTGTAGAACCCTGAAGAGGCTCGGGATGAATGACTTAGTCAGGGGAGTCCTCTGTGTGACAAAGAGGTAGTCCAAGAATGGATTCCATTAGACATGAGCATCCTATTGGGGAACTGAGGTAGCTTGGGGAGTGGATAAGCACCTTCATTCCTGACTTCCACCAAGATGATTGATTGGATCTGAGTTGAACACACAGACTTTCTGCCTCATCTGCAGCCTATACTCTGTGTCTGAGCAGCCTCTCCCTGAACTGCTTCTCCTCAGGCATAGGTTGAGAACATCCAAGATCTCCAAGCTCAAGTTTCTCATAGGGGTTCCTCAACTTCTTTCTTCTGAAATTTGACAACAAACATCAAGGAGAAATCAGGCTGTACTCTTCAAGTTGGCAGGAAACCTCCTCCAGTGGCTGAACTTCCCAATCTACCGCTTAATGATTCTGTTTCCACCCAACAGGGGAATACAACTCAGGCAAGTCTTTGATACTCTACCCCAACTACACCCTTTCCTACTTTTCAGTAACATGTTCCATGCTTACTTCCTTCTCAGTTGGGGCCAATTCCCATTTAGTTTGGATGTGAAGTGTCTCCTTGAACATAATGTGTGCTAAAGTCTGGGTCCCCAGATAGTGGTGTTATTGAGGCATGATTGGGTTAATCCATCCACGAGTTCATAGTGAATAGGCTATTAGCAGGTACAGGGAAGGCAGATAAAGACCAGTGGTGTGTGCTTGTGAAGCGTGAGTCATGCCGCGCCCCTGGCTTCTTCCTGTCTCTCTTCTCCATAGCCATCAAAACATGGAACAGTCTTTATCCATCACATCCTTCTGCCATGACGTTTCTGCCTTCCCACATCCTACAAGCAATGGAACCGACCAACCGTAAACCGAAACATCACTTCTGTTGGGAGACCTACAAGAGTGTCTTTAACACCTATACTTCCATTAACCATCCCTTCAAGGTACTGTGTGTTTGTTCTAACATGTACTTCAAACCTCTTCCAAGCCCAATCATTACCCAGTTTGGAACTCACTGTCACACTTTTGGGTGTTTGCTACAACAGCACCCCATTTTATAGACACAGAATTTGAGTTAGGTCTGGAGCTTCAGTAACGGGACATCGTAATCAAGTTGTTGAACCCACAAAAAGTTACTCTCTCACAGTCCTGGAGTAGGGACACCAGAAGTCAAGGTGTTGGCTTCACTCCTTCCACGAACTCCAGGGGAGGATCCACCTTGCCCCTCCAGATAGCCTTGGCTTGGGGCTATATCACTCCAGTCTTTGCCTATGTCTTCATTTGGCTTTTTCCCTGTGAGTTACTCCGAAATTCCTTCTTTTTTTTTTTTTAAATGCAAACTTTATTGATGGGAAAGAGGCAGATAGAGGGGGTGCAGGGGAACAATCGGGCCCACCCTTTTCTTTTCTTTTTTTTTTAATATTTTATTTATTTATTGTGTATACAGTCTTCTGCCTGCATGCCAGCAGAGGGCACCAGATCTCATTCAAGGTGGTTGTGAGCCACCATGTGGTTGCCGGGAATTGAACTCAGGACCTCCGGAAGAACAGTCAGTGCTCTTAACCTCTGAGCCATCTCTCCAGCCCCCGAAATTCCTTCTTCTTATACGGATATTACGAATGTATCCAGGATCCACTCGGAAAATCCAGGTGTAGAATGGTTTCTGAAGGCCACATTAGCAGGTTCGGAAGCACCCATATATGTTTAGGAACAGGGCCTACCATCAGCCCCCTGCTACCCTCCTGCCCTTCCAAAGGCTCTTCAGAGACAGGAAGTTGCTTGGGGTTCTAGTTAATCCTATTCTCTGCTTCTGTAGAAAGCAAGCCCTTCTTTTGCACCCATCACTGGTCCAAACACTGTGATTCACAGATTCTCTAATTAAAGAACCAGTAGGTACAAGAACATGTTACCACCCAACACTGGGAGATGCAGTGCTGGGTCCTAAGCATGAGCCATGAATGGAGCCAGATGATCCTTTATCAAACATCACTCTTTACCCCATTCACCTTGCACCCATCCCCTCAAACAGCTACTCTTCTAGGAATAGGATCCTCAATCCAGCCAGATGAAGCAGAAGCCACCGGCATCAAGACTAGTAGTCAAAGATACCCCAGCCCCAGAGGTTTTGGTCACTGGCCAAGGTCCTGTAGCCTCTCAGGAGACTCAAGCTGCCCAGCTTGCCCAGTGTTCCCCAACCTTAGGAGGAGACACCATGCTGACCTGAAGGTGAGTCCAGATTTGCTCTTGAGGTTCCGCAGTAGCTCCAGCTGATTCAGAGGCGGGATGAGTCTGGGGCAAGAGGAGGAGAAGTGAGTAAGCCTGACCTCTGTAAGATCTGAGGTTCAGCTCTGTACATCCATATCTACTTCACCCATGGGAGCAAACAGCAGCTTTCAGAGCACGAATGTATGACACCTGAAGCTCTGGGCTTAGTGCCTCCACCTCTCCCAAGCTCCAGGGCTGTCTTTACTCTCTCTCCCTCTCTCCTCTCATGTTGCTGCTGGGGCCTCAGACACAGGAAATGGTCAAGACCCAGCATGGACGGCAGGCCACGAGGGCCTAGTCCTTCAGCATGGAGTAGATCAAGAGAGCAGAGTCCAGGTAGGATATCCCTCCCCAACTCTCTTCCATTCTGCTTCCCCGCCCCCTGAAATTTTTCAAGGTGCTGCAAACACAGCAGCTCAACCTATTCAAAGTCTCAGACCCGTATGTCCCCTGGTGGAGTTTCTTTGCCTCCAAAGGCTGGAATGGTGCAGGGGGAAGGTCACAGAAAAAGGTCTTTGCTGGGCAAAGAGAAGCTCATTTCCAGGTCTATAGGATGATTATTAGCCTGGACAACTGGTCTCAATCAGGCCCTGATGCCCCCAGGGGACCCTCAGCATGCAGCCTGACTGTTCCTTTTCCTGACCTGGCCACTCACCACTCTCAGTCCCATGCCTGGCCTCTGCCTTCCTGCCCTGGCATTTGGTCAGCCCATATCCACAGCTCCAACAGTCTCAGGGAAGGCATGCTCCCACGTGGAAGGTAAACGTATCCCTTCCCACCTAGGGGTAAAAATCTCACCCCAACCCATTTTCTGCCCTTAGATCCTCAGCTTCCTCTTGGTTAGTGTCTGTCCCATGAAATCCCCACCTCATTTTAGGATAGACACAGCAAGTCCCTTGGCTCCTGTGGCCCTGGAGGCTGACACTCTTATCCCCATTATGACCCTACCTGCTCTAGGACAGCCTCAGCGTCAGATCCTCTTGCATTACTTTCAGTACTGGCCTCCTAGAGCCCCAGCCACGCACCAGGATCCTCAGGACCCCCGGCCTGTCCTTGTCCTTCGTTCTTGACCCCTCAGCTAAAAAGTACAGAGCCTGGGTTCTTGGGCTTGGGCTCCTGCGGCAGCTGGCCACCTCCTAGCCCATCCCCTCTGCGTGACCACAGGTGCCTCCTACTGGAAATGTCCTGTGTCTTCCCCATCCCTCTGCCTACCTCGCCTAGACTCTCTCAATACTCTCACCCTACCCATTAGATCTTTCAAATATGCCCAACAGCCTTGCCATGCTCGAAGTCAAACATTTAATCAATGGCTCTCCACCACCTCCAAAACAGAAGGGTCATTGGGTTTACTGGCAAACTAGTCTTGCTCTTCAATCTTGTTCCTCCACTCAGAGAGACCCACCCTGTACCCCTGGGCCACTACTGCCTCGGACTGTCTTCTCCCCCCCCCCACCTCTTCTTTTACCTTGGCAAAGGATAGCTACATCTGGGCCCTCTTGCTTCATAGCCACTACCCCATGCTGGTTAAAAAAAACTGAAGTCCCACTCAGAGCTTCTCTCCTTATCCCTTTCTGCCTCCCCTCCCCCAAGGCCATTCACTGACCTTGACAAGTCAGCGTGAAGCAGGAGCCTAGCAATCAGAGTTAGTGGCTAGTGCCACGGTGATCCTCCCCTCCACTTTTTTCACCAGCCCTGGGGCCTGGAGCAGGGTCCTCGGCACAACCCTCTCCTGCGGACCCCCCCACACAACCAGCGCCACATAGGCCCAGGTTAGACACAGGTAAAACCATCCCTCCCAGCCACACTGGACGCATGCCCAGGACACACAAAGCAGCCACCAGGGGCAGACACATGGAAGTGGGGCCGTGCACATAGCTGGTCGCCAGTCACAGACGGCTGGGGGAGGGGCAACCCCAGGAGAGCGGCAGCTAATCTGAGGATGCTGTTGGTCTCATGGGACAACTCCAGACACACAGGTTGGGGGGGTTCTGTGTGTGTGTGTGTGTGTGTGTGTGTGTGTGTGTGTGTGTGTGGTTGGTTGGGGGGGTGCATCTTCTTTCTGGATATGGTGCTGGCTGGAGAAGATGCGCTGGAGGAAGAGCATAGTAGGACAGCACACAGGTCTTCCACCTGCCAGGGGACTAGGCTCCCCAGGAAAGGTTGGACCTTAGGGTGCTACTTCCACAGCTACATGTGCCTCTGGGGTCTGGGAAGGAGAAATCCAAGGTCGTGGTCAACTGAACAACCCTTCTGTTTTGAGAGTCAAGGGCTTACTCTCCTAGCCCAGTCCCTACAAAAGGCAGGAGACAGGTCACAGCTCCAAAGAAAAGAACCTATACCTGCTACTGGACCGGGGGGGGGGGGACACGGACGGGACACTTTGTAGGGCTGTGCTGGTATGAGAGTCTTCCTCCAGCACAGGCCCCACCCAACCAGGGAGGGTGTGGCTCGCCTTGTACGTGTTGAATAAAGCTTCCCAGGCAGCTCAGCTGCATGCAAATTGGCCCTAGCTAAACACAGCAAGAGGGAGCCACCACCCAGAATAAATAACTCTGTTTCCCAGGCCTTCGTACTTTCTCCACCGTAGTATAAAGACTCTGGAGTTGTTGGGGGGATTCAGACTCTAGGAGGGATACGCTAGAGCAGATGACCAGAGTAGGGTTCTGGTCCCGGGTATGCTCCTGGTCCTGGACATGGATCCCTCAGAAACATGGTGAGTCCCACGACCACCACTCTGCTCATAAGTGGGGGAGGCAGGGTTGAGGAATCACAGCTGTTAAGACAAGGCAGGAAGCAGGCCAAGGAACAAGACACACCGAGAACAAGGGGTCCAGCAACAGGAAAGCGGCAGCTGAGGAAGCAGGAGTCAGAGAGGCAAGGTTTGCTCACACTGCCCAGGAGGAGCTATGGGTTAACACAGGGACTCCAGGCAGGGAAGGGCCACAGGGTAACAGGGTCCAATGATGGTAGCATGAGGTCTAAAGGGCGGGTACTCTAGGGTGGGATATAGGCTCTAAAGGGTTTGCCCCACCCCAAACTTAGACAGACGAGAGCTACACACATCTTCCATCCCATGCATGTCCTACCTGGAGGCCCCATAGGTTTGAGTTTGCGAGCTTTCAAGGGTTTCACACATACACACAAAGGGGAAAAGAACCAAAAAAATTTTTTAAAAGAACGGGATAAGAAAAAGAAAACGAAAAATAAAGTGGAGGGAAATAGGGGAAACAACAGAATAAAGAAAATTAGCCCATAGCTCAATCCTGTCCCAATGCCCTGCAAGGAGCATGGAGCTTGGGGCAGGGCCAGCCAAGGGCTCAAGGCTCCAGAGGAGCCAGGGGTGGGTGCTGAAGAAGGAATGGCAAGGCCACCTTTGTCCTAAGCAATGCCCTGCCAAGACTAATGCAGGCAGAATGGCGTACGGTCCATCTGACCATTGCTGGTCGTCAGGTCCCTGACGGTAGACAGTCCCAAGCCCAGGAGCCCTGGCAGAGCTCTGTGCCCAGTGCTACCTGGAGATGACTCAGATGGAATGAAGTGCTCTGCCATCGGTAATGGAGCTGGCCCAGTCTCGTCTCTCTCAGTTCAGGGTGAAGGGATAGCACCAAAAGGGCTCTGACTTAACCTATCTATCTTCAAGTATCACACCTTCAGCTAAGCGCAAGCTTTGTGCACACAGTCCCCAAACCAGGGCTGCCACCTGCATTCTGAGCAGCGGTTCACAGGCCAGCTGGCACTGCTCCCTGGCGGCCCCCAGAAAGGCTCTTCCTGACCTCTTCCTGCTTTCTAGATTTTCCTGGGGTATCCCGGACTATCCTGGGGTATCCTGTGCTCTATTTTGCTGTGGATGCCCGGAGCCCATTGGACAATAAGGTGACTTTCCTCTAGACTCCCACTTTAGTCTGCGTTATTACACACACACACACACACACACACACACACACACACACACACACACCATAGTTTCCCTGGTCTTTTCTGGAGAACACAGTCACCACTACCCTTCGTCTTAAGTCTTGGGCTGCTGGAGGCTTCTTGGCATTGCAGCACTAAGTCCATCACTCATCTCATGGGACAGCTCGGGTTGGGGATCACAACACAATGTACCCAAAAAGAGGGGTGGAGGGCGAAGGATGAGTACAAGACTAAGAAATGAAAGCCACAACACTCACTGTAAAACAAGGAACAAAATCAATACTGCGAAATAAACCGCACAGAATCCTTTGTGGAAAAATACATACACTTGGGGGCAAAAAAAAGAAAAAGAAAAAGAAATAGAAATCAATGGGAGTAAAGAACAAATGGAAACGAAAAAAACAAACCGCCATGCAGGGTGGTGAGGCGGGGCCTGGCGCGGTACCTGTACATGGGGACAGTGACTGTGCGCTCGTAGTATTGCCACGTGGAGTGCAGGTCGGTGCGTGAGAGGTTAGTAGCATAGAATCTCCAGGCAGACTGCGGTGGAAAGAGGTGAGATTGTCGTGGCTGGGCAGAGGCTACCCTTCTCCCGGGACCTCAGCAACATAGAACTGCAACCCCATGCCTGTCTTCACCCCCACAGCCTCAGTTTAACATTGTGGGACAAGCATGATACCCAACGGAAGCTGGTGGGGTATGGGAGATACTCTTGTCTCTAGCTCAAACTGAGTCTGCGGTAAGCCTTGGTAATCTCCTTCCCTTCTGTCTTTCTTGGCATCCAGTGGGTGACTCGATTGCCCTCCCTGGCCCAAACAAGACCTAACCCCAACCCCATGAGACCTGGGAAGGGAGGTGAGGTTAGGGTGTAACTCCTTCTTCCAGGCAAGGTGGCCCAGGCTCCATCTTCCTCACTGGCTCAGGCTTCTTTCCATTCCCCTATACATGCTTTTATATATGTAGCATAATCCACATGGCATGTAGTCCATCGTTTTGATTGCTTTAAAGTACACACACCATTGTGTAACCATGGCCACTCTCTACCCACAGCTTCTGACCCTTGGAAAGGCATGCCCATACATAGACATTTCCATTCCAACCTCCTCCTAGGCTCTGGCAGCATCAGTCTTGTAGTCTCTGCAGATTTGACTGTTTTGGAAACTTCCTGTCCATGGAATCTCATGGTTATGTGGTCTGCCTGTTAGTTTCTTGCACGGAAGGCAAGGCCCTCAGAGCTGACCTGAACTTTGGTGTGCACTGAGCTTCATCCCTTTCCTTACTAAATGACACTCGGTTGTACAGATGCGTCACACGCATTTTGATCATGCCCCCAGTGAACATAGCCACCCCCCCACGCTATACAGCTGTTATGTACGGAGCACTATAAAACAGGCAGGATTTCGGTTGAACACCTGCTTTAGGTTCTAACAAGGGAGTGACCATGTGGGTAAGGAAACAATTCCATGTGTCACTTAGAATCCAGAATTTCCACACATGAGACAGATGCTCCCCCAGAGAGCCCAGCTCTGATTATTGTTTCCTGAGTGGTCGCTGCACCGTGCACCCCCTCAGTGATGTGTGAAGGCCCAATGCCACCAAGTGCCACACTTACTTTCCATTTTTTTTTTCATTTTGACCATTCCAGTGATCGTGAAGTGGCCTCTTGTGATTTGATCTTCATTCCTCTAGCAACATAACTAATCTTTTCACGGACTTGTGTCCAATTGTCTTTCCTTCTTGGAAAAGTGCCTATTTGAGTCCCCTGCTCCCAAACCCTCTGAGTTGTTTGTCTTGCTGTGATTGAGTTTTTAGGGTTCTTCATATGTCCTGGATATTGAATGCATTTCCAAGCTCTCCCCGCCTTCCCATTCAATGGGTTTTCTTTTCGCTCTTGAAGGTCCTTTGAGGCACGACTTTTAAATTTTAATGCTCTCTAGTTTTACTTTCGTTATTTGTGCTTTTTTGGTGTCACATATAGAAGATAAAAACAATAGATCTTGCTTACTTCTAAAGAGTTTAACAGTTTTAACTCTTTAATTTAAGGCAAGGTCTCACAGCGTATCCCAGCCTAGCCTCAAACTCAAGATCCTCTCGCCTCAGCCTCCAGAGTTCTGGTATTACCAGTAAGCGCCACAAAGCCTGGCCAAACATCATTTAAAAAAGAAAAAAAAGCTCCAAATAAGGCATGACAACATACGTCTGTTACACAGAATTTAGGAGGCTGAAGCAAGAGGATCACATAAGTTTGAGGCCAGCCTCTGCAATAAGACAAGCAAACGACAACGATCACAATAACAGTAAAACAGGCCTTCAGCTGCACCACACCACGTATTGAAGGAGTTCTCATCTGTAATCAGTCTACAAATGGGCTAACTCATGCATGCACGGTCCTGCTGGTACATACACTTGTCCTTGTGTGAGAACTACACTGTTTTGATCATTGCAGCTTTGCAATAAATTTAAAAATCTGAACTTGTAAGTGCCCCTACTGTCTTCTCCTGCTTCAGCGCAGGATTTCCATTTTGTTTCCACAGACACCTTTAGGATTAGCTTTTCTGCTTTTGCAGAAGGGCATGGAGGGCATTGGACTTACGAGAAGTGCACTGAGCCTGCAATATCAATGTTTGGGAAGAACATTTTAACGAGGTTAGATCTTCTAGTCCGTGAACATGAGATGCCTTACTTTGGTCTCCATCGATAATTTCAGTAACATCACGGACTACATGGTGTCCAGGCTGGCGAGGCTGACTTCTACAGAATGGAGATGCTTTTGGGGGCACAGGAGGCCCTGGGACCTCCTCTGAGACTCCCCTCTGAGATTTTTTTTCTGCTTGGGAGTCAGAATCAAACTCAGGTGATAAGCCTTTTGAAAAAATCAATCCTTCTATCCTGGCCACTGGGGTCACTGCTAACCAAATCTTTGAACCCCCAAAGTACAGGAAGGTCAGCCTTGCTCGGAGGAAGGATCTTTGGATCCGCTATTCTGCCACACTGCCTTTACCCTATGATCACGCATCATGAATGGGTTGGAGACGTCTTGAAGCTCTAGGGACCACCTTGAAGTCCACAGTGGGGAAAACTGCAGGCAAGGCAGAGAGACCGCTCTGTCCTGATAAGGACACTTTATCCACAGGTGTCCTCTGTCACATGTGGGTAAAGCAGAGACAGCAGATGCTGTCGCTCTTTGGTGGCACTTCTGACTTTTGGAAGATTCACAGGCTGTTGTTGAATGGCCTTTGAGAGGAGTGTATGGGGGGTGGTGACATTCAGTTTTTGCTGTCCCATCTTAAACCTTTTGGCCCCATGGACCTGCAGTCACTTTCTTTTTCAAACGGGCATTCTGCTCTTCTTTTTTGTTTTGTTTTGTTTGTAGTTACAAAACAATAGCCGTGTGTTTTGTGGTGAGAGCTATGTAACACATACACAAAAGGAGGCTGGACCCAAGGTTGAGACTGTGATGGCCACATCTTTTAAAGAGAAAGACTGATATAGAGCCACATTCAACTGGCAGGAAATACTGGTCAGCGCTAGGGTCCAGAAGGAATCTCTGTCTTCTTGCATGCACGTCAGGGGGCCTCTACATCCCCCTGCCCCTCAGTGGTAAGACCAGCTGGTAGGTTTGGGGAAGGAAGGCACAGTGTTCACAGGTTGAACAGCCAGACGGAAGGACCCCAGACATGGCTCAAGAGCCACTTGCTGCCAGATTGTCAACCTCTATAAGCTGTGAGTCTCACAGCTGCACGATGTGATGAGACACCTACATCACAGGGCACTGGAGGTGATCTGGATGGTTACTGGAACAGTATGGCCTGAGCCAACTGCCCACTGGGGACAGGACCACCCAGCATCACTAGCATGAGTCACGGGGTACGGCCTCAGGTGTCAGAACACAATCCCGTCTTCCAAACATGGGCCTATCCATAGACACGGGAAAGCCTGGTACAGCCATTGTCAGTGCCAAGATCTTGGTGGGCTTCCCTTCTAGATAAGGTGGGGGTCAGAACAGGGGTTGGTCCCTAGCGGGGACTAAGGCTCACCTGGATCAGACCTGCCGCAGGGTTCCGCCGCTTCTCAAAGTGTTTTTGCCGATGCTGCTCCTGGACTTTCAGAGCAAAGCCAGATCCCAAGATGCCCTGCAAATCACCGAGGTCAGACCACATCCTGGGACCATGCCCCTCCTCACCCTTACCTACAATGCATGTGCTTCACAGGTGTCACCTACATCCTACATCCTTGGAACGCCCCAGTAGTTCATCACCTAGAGACCAGGCTGGGAATCTCTAACCGGCAAAAGGCACCCTCCTAACCTACCCTGTCCACGGGGCAGCTGCCCTCTGCCAAACCCAGTGGAGCAGTCGGCACACCCATCCCATTCTGTATAGGGTGAATGAGGACCCCACTGTCTAGGGTCATTCAGATGGGAGAGCCACAGAAGTCAACAGAGCTATGTCAAAAGGCCCGGTCTATGCCGGGCGTTAGTGGCGCGCACGCCTTTAATCCCAGCACTTGGGAGGCAGAGGCAGGCAGATCTCTGTGAGTTCAAAGCCAGCCTAGTCAACAGAGCAAGTTCCAGGACAGGCTCCAAAGCTACACAGAGAAACCTCGTCTCGAAAAACCAAAATACAACAACAACAGCAAAAAACAGGCCCGATCTGAAGACACTGTAAGTCTGCCTACTGAGGTTACAGGCATCTAAAACAGGGGATCCTCACTCTGGCCAGGTCAGGGGCCTCTCTAGAGACTGTGAACCCTACAGGGACCTGCTCCTGTCTAAGATCCTCACAGTTCACAGGTGGCTTGTAGTCAGGTCTTACAGGGAGCCTCTGAGACATCCCTAGGGCTGGAAGGGGTGTAGGACTCACTGCGGGAAGAGCGAAGAAGGAGACACCAATGAGGGTAAACGTCGCTGCCAACAGCCTCCCATTCCAGGTCTGAGGGTACTTGTCCCCGTAGCCAATGGTCGTCAGGGTGATCTGAGGAGCAGGGGGCCCTGGTTACTTGGGCAGGCTGACAATGGCCCACCAGAGGTCTACAATCCCAGGCCAGATGTCCCTACTCAGTCATGGGAAGCTCACCCAAGTAGTTTGCCTGCACCTTTGGGGGCAACTAGACACTGATGGTCACTCAGACTTCGGGTGGATGGGCGGGAGGGTCAGCCTTGTCCTGTCACCCATACTAGGGCAAAGCAAGGCCAGGGTCAGCATAGGCTGTCCTTTATCCTTTATTCCACCAAACCCCCAATCTCTTTTCATTCCCAAGGCTCCCCTGGTTAACACTTGGGACAGGTAGACTATGCAGTACACACCAGCACCAAGCAAGGACAGGAGTTTCCATCCAGGTGAATGGCTGATGTATCTGGGCCCCCTGCCCTGTGCTCAGAAATAGGGGGCACCAGTGAGCTGATGGGTACCCACCAAGTCAGGGGACAAGAGCAAGCAAATGCAGGGTGCCAGGGTCTGTAGAGGGTAAGGAGTCAGCAAAGGCCAAGGAGAGTAGGGTTCAGGGATGATGGGGTACGGACTAGGAGAAGGCCTGGCCCAGGACAGGAGGAGGCCAGTAGAGGCAGGTAGGAGGTGGCCAAGAAGACAGAAGGGTAATAGCGAGGGGACTGCATTTTAGGAACCAGTAGACATCTTAAAATACAAAGATTGCTTTGAAACGATAAAAACAAAACGTTTGCTTCAGTTCTAAAAGAGAAGGAAGGCCTAGACCCAAGACATGCTGAAGAGAATGAGCTGTATCATCCTCCAGGGCCCTGGGGCCAGCTGGTTTACATCTCAGGTCCCCTGGATGCAAAGCTGACTCCCTCGGCAGAGCCCGGGGCACGCAGTCAGACAGTCCAGCTGCCCCTGCTCAGTGTCTATCACGTACTCTCCACTGCCACGTACCTCCCAGCCTTAAACTCACTTCACTCCCAACAGTCCTGCTTCTTCCCAAGAGGACACAGGATCCCAGGCCCGTGGCCATTAGTAAGATCATTAATAAACTGCCCCGTGGCTTCATTCCAGGAGAAGTTGTCTGATCCTCTCCCAGTGACTGCAAGCACAGCACCCGTCCAGGTCACCACCTCCCGGCTCTGCCCTGAGCCCTCAAGGAGTCCAGAACATTGGGGGAGGAAGGGCTAGAAGAAACCCATTTCTGTCTAATTAGGGTGGGTCTCAGGGCTAGTGCGATGTTCAGGAAACAGGGACCTAGGAAACCTGCCATCCATACCCACTCCAAGCAGATGTCCAGTGGTATCTAAAAGGCCCTTCTGCAAAGGTGCAATGACAGAGGACTTCCGGAATATTCCAGGCAGAGTCGAGCATGGGGAGCCTCAGGCACAAAGGCCAGGTAAGGTTCTAGCATTTGGGCAGCACCAAATGGTGTAGGATTCAAGGCCACTGTCAGCAGAAAAGCCCCAGAGAGTCAGGGCCTGTGGTTTCCTTTTGCAGTGTGTGTGTGTGTGTGTGTGTGTGTGTGTGTGTGTGTGTGTGTGTGTGTGTGGTGCATGCAGTGCATGTGGTGCATGTACATGGTGTGTGGTATGTGTCTGTAAGTGTGTCTGCACACGGATGTGTGTATGTGATGTATGTGGAGTGTGTGATGTGTGTGTGTGTGTGTGTGTGTGTGCACATGCGCATACACATGTGTGGCGTGTGGGGTGAAGCCAAACTTTTACATGGGTGCTGGGGAATTCCCGTGCTTTAACAGCAAGCCCTTTACCCACTGAGCCGTCCTGCCTTTGTCCCCTCCCTTATTCCTCACAGTGACAGGCAGGACTGACTGGAGGTTGGAGTTCAGAAACAAGTGGCCTGGAATGGTGGCAACTGGCCTTGGCAATGGGAGGCCGTGACAACAATGCTGCCTCCGCCCTCCAACTGCTCCAAAATTGTGAGGGTTGTTCATACTCCTGAGCTGGGGAGCCCCGGGGATGGCTCTATACTGGTCACTACTCTCAGAACCCCAAAAATCTCCCACCCCAATCTTCCTCCTCCAAAATTCAGTGGAGGTTTCAGGAAGGCGATGGGAAGGAAGGAACCGTCTGCCCCCTGTCACATCTACCAACACAATAACCACACCAACCGCAGCCCTCATCTCCACATGCCATCATGTCTACAGCCAGCCACCAGATGGCCACCAAGAGACATGCCCATCCAGGCTAGCCTAAAGGCTGTTAGGTCTCTCCTCAGGTCCTAAGGGGCAGGGTATACTCTCAGGACGGCTGTACCAAGAGGATGTGGGGGAGGAAGCTATCAGTGACCAGGACTTACCAGGCCCCACCAGAGTGCATCTGCATAGGTGTCAAAGTGGTCATTCTCACCCTTCTCGGCCAAGTACACCAGAAACGAGGCCAGGATGAGGCAGAGGAAGCCAATGTACCAGGCAGTCACCAGCTCCTGCAAACGCAGGAGACCGTATCATTGTCCCGCTCAGGCCGACCTGGACAGTGTCAAGCATGGGAGCCCTGCCCTGAACTCTGTGTGCATCACAAGGGCTTCAGAGGATGGGATCCCCTCAAGGCACAACTAGAGTAGACATTGGTCGGGGCTGGCAACAGGGCTTGTCCTGAACAATCAAGGGTGGCTGCTGCCTATACAGTACAACTTTATCAACTGACTATTTTAGACCTGGGAGAGGGACATCCAACAGCCCGGTAAACATCCTGCCTGTGGCTGGGGAACACATACCCCAAGCCAGGAGTTGTAGTCCCCGCACTGTTTAGATACTCTGGAGATATCCTCAAGAGGGGCTCTGGGACTCAACAGGTATATATTCAGTTCCCAAGACTGAGGGTGCAATGCAGTGAGTGAGAGAGACCAGGCCTCAGGGAGCTCAACTTCCCCAGGGTCCAGCGCTGTCGTGGTCACAAAAAAAGGGGGCCCGGGCAGGTTAGAGAGCATTTGACTCGATGAGCCCATGGGGTGCACAGAGGACCCATAGTGTCACCTGGCAGAAACCAAGTCTTGCCCACCGGGGACTCCCTCAACACAGACCGTGTACACACACAGCCACTCCATGAGTACCCTGGACCAGCAGCCACCACAAGCCACAGCTTAAACAACCCCTCGGCCGGTGATTCAGGCAGAGTATCGATCGGGGCCCTCAGAACCAGGAAGGGAAATGCTCAGCTACAGGGGCTGCCAGCTATATATAGGGAGGATGGCTCAGACTGGGAACAGAAACAGCTTTCCTGGCTACGCCCAGCTTAGAGACCCCGCCCCCGGGAGGGACTTTGGAGCCAGGGTGACCAGCAGGCCCCAGGCTGGGTGGGCCAAGGCTCACCTTACTGTGAGCATACACCACCGATCCCAGGAGCTTCCAGGTGCCGCCCCTCCGGTCCATACGGATCATCCGTAAGATCTGCAGGAACCGCAGGCTCCGGAGTGCAGAAGTGGCAAAGACATTTCCCTGGGAGCCAGCAGCCAGCACAGCAATGGAAGCGATCAACACCATGATGTCTGTTGGAGACACGCGCACAACTCACAGGGTCTCCCTCCCCTGGGCCCCAAAGGAAGGGATCAGTGGCCCCATAGACATGCCAGGTCATGTAGGGCCCTGGGAAGGGCGGTTTCCTGTGCCCACCCCGCTGCCTACCTGTGGTACCCAGGGCAGGCTGCCCACCACTTTGTCCCTCCCGACATCTATTGCCCTGTGGGCACCAACTCCAAGTCACACTTGGAAGCAGTTCCTGCCCCAGACCCAACTCTGCTGGCTATGCCCACCAGGCCTCACCAATCACACAGAACGGCTTCCTGGCAAACTTGAGCCTTCCCCTCCAGCCTCGGTACCGGCAGCAGCAGCCTGCGGCCCAGATCCTCACAAAGTACTCAACGCCAAACACCACGATGGTCACGATTTCCTGGGAGGTGGGAGGGATACAGATGAAGACGCTGCCAGGCACCCTTAGGAGGGCTGCCTGTATGCTACACATGCAGTCTCAGGCCAGGGCTGCATAAAGCCCCCACGGCTCAGAAGCTAGAAGTGACAGGGCCCCCAGCTCGTGTCAGCCAGGACCGGAATCCCTTCTAGACACAGATGACCTCCCAAGGACTCGCTGCTATCAACCAGTAGGTCCCGGGCCTTGGACCGCCTAAGGAACCACCCTTCTTACCTCCCTTCTGAGCTAGATCTGCCCTGTTTGAGCTGGAGTGGTAGGGCTCTGGTGTTAGTGGGCTGGGTGGGCACACTAGCAAACCCTAGCAAAGGGAGAGCAGGCTCTTCTAGAATTCAGGCAGCCCCCCCAAGGGGGGCAGTGGGGCAAAGTGGGTGGAAGAGCCTTCTAGTGGGATCACTCTCCTTGAAGGGCCACCTCCGTTACCAATAGCAACAGAGAAATTACAGTACTGTTTCCATGACGCCCACCCCTGCCCCATCACAGGGTTTATGCGAGTGAGCATCAGGGCCTCCCACCCCTTCACCCACACCTCTTGGGGAGCAAGCACCACACACGTCCAATGGGGGCACCCGTGTACTTAGAATCGGTGGTGAGAGCTGCCTGGTGTGACGTCGCTTCTCCTAGGGGCTGGGAGGCTTGGAAGGGGCTTGAGGGCCTACACCACAGTGCCAGGAGCAGCAACAGTGGCTGTGGTTGCAAGAAAGCTTTTTATTCCGGAGGAGACCCTGGATACAGAAGGCCCGGCTCACTCAAACAATCAGAGGGACCCGGGGGTCGGGAGGGCAGGCTACTGCAGAGGTCTCTCCACCCGATTAACCAGGACTCTTTACCAGCCTCCAGGCCTCTCCCCACTCCCTGCCCAAGTGTGGAGCTTACCAAGATGTAGAGGGCCCCCTCTGAGCTCTTCTCGTACTCCTTGATGGTGGAGAATACGGAAAGCACGAGGCAGGAGAAGACCAGGAGAAACCTGCGGGAGGTGAGAGGCATGCAGTCATCAGGGGGCCAGCAGTCATCAGGGGGCCAGCAGTCACCAGGGGGCCAGCAGTCACCAGGGGGCCAGCAGTCACCAGGGGGCCAGCAGTCACCAGGGGGCCAGCAGTCACCAGGGGGCCAGCAGTCATCAGTGGGCCAGCAGTCGCCGCCACATCCCAAGCCAGCAGCCCATGACTACTTGCTGGCACACCTGCTTCTAAAGCCATTGGAGGGCCCTCGGAGAACAGCAGGGAGAACACAGCCCGACACACCCCAGTTTCCAAGACTCCATAATCACACAGATTGATGACAGGGCCCTTCCCAACTCATGTCTATCTGGTTTTGGCCCCCGACAGCCTCGGCTAGTGCAAGAGCGATAAAAAGAACCAACTCCACACCGCTCACCCCCCACAGACGGCAGACACGCATACTTCTTCATGGAATGCAATGCTTCCTCCCTAGGTTCAGAGACAGAAAACTTCTCTTCCGACTAGATCTGGTGCTGGACAAGAACTTCCCAGATCACCTTTCTAGCCTTGGCCCCAGCTGCCGTGGTCTCTCCATTTCTCTTTCTAATTTAAATTTTAAAAAATTAAAAAGAGTCGGGCGGTGGTGGCGCATGCCTTTAATCCCAGCACTCGGGAGGCAGAGGCAGGCGGATCTCTGTGAGTTCGAGGCCAGGCTGGACCCATAGCCTCCAAAGCAATACAGAGAAACCCTGTCTTGTAAAAACCAAAAAAAAAAAAAAAAAATTTAAAAGACAAAGAAACAAACAAAAAAAGTTGCAATGATGCCTGCTCATCAGCCTATACTTTCTGCTGTAATTATTCCTCTCTCCTTTATTACCCAGCCTTTCCTGACCTACCAAAATTCTCCTGCAAAACTCTCCCAGCAAAATCCTCTGTCTCTTTCATGTCTTTGTGCATCCTCTGACAAGCCATCTACCGTCTCCCTGATCCTACCCCAGAGGACAAGTAACAGAGTCTACCATAGGAACCCAGCTTGTGGCCTTTGACAAGGTCATACCAACCAACCTAAACACACGATAGGCAGCATGGCAAGAACACTGCCTGCCGAGGACCACCACACCCACGTCTCATCCTGGGAGACTGGAACAGCTCCAGCTAAATCACAGAGGCAGATTCTAGGGCCAGTGAGATGGCTCAGCAGGTACAGACGCTTGCTGCCAAGCCTCAGGACCTGAGTTTCATCCCCTAGACTCACAAGGTAGAAAGAGAAAACCATCTCCCACAGAATGATCTTCTGATCTCCACGTGTGCACTGTGCAGGGCGGGGAGAGAACCAGAATACTAGAATAGACTTTTTTTTTTTTTTGGTTTTTCCAGACAGGGTTTCTCTGTATTGTTTTGGAGCCTGTCCTGGAACTCGCTCTGTAGACCAGGCTGGTCTCGAACTCACAGAGATCCGCCTGCCTCTGCCTCCCGAGTGCTGGGATTAAAGGCGTGCACCACCTTCGCCGCCCGGCTTAGAATAAACATTTTTAAACAGAAAATGCAAACCCCAACACAAATGGGATGTGTGTGTCACTTCTCAAACAGCTCAGGTAATACTAACGTTTTTCTGCAGATGGCAACCTGCCACACAAAACAGGCACATCCAACACATAGTCATCGAGTCCTGTGCACGGAACATGCTTGACCACAAGGCACCAAGAAGAGCTCCACATCCATCGGAACCACAGATCTCTTGCTCAAAGAGCTTTCTTTCACCTGCTCCCCCCTGCCAGCAGCCCCCTGCTACCTTCAAGGGCCAGACATCCGTCCACACGCCCAGCACACAATGGTAATAACGATGATGACTATGACGACAGAGGTACCATGCTCCTTCCTGTCGGGTCTTAGGGTCCTCCTACCACCATGGCTACCTTTAATAGCAGATGAGTCCCAGGGGGGTCAGGTTCCTTCCACATAAACCTCTCTCTCAGCCTAATGTGTGGAACTGGCCACTGTCCCCACCTGTTCTTCCCTCTTACCATTCTTTGATGTCCTCTATTGCAAGCCCAGGGTACGCTGTCCATGAGGACATGCCCCCTTGGGTAGTCACCCTCCAACCCAGACAGGTTGGGAACACAGCACAAAGGCCCTTGCACCCACAGATCTCCAGGAAAACCAGGAATATTAGGCACAATCATCCTCTCCAAGGAATGGACTTAAAACCTGGTCTTCCATCCAGAAATCTAGGAATTGGAGGCGATTAACAGTCTGGTGATCTGCATTATCTGTTGAGACAGGCCATATCAAGTTCTACAACCAGGACCAGAGGTGGCTAACAGCCCAAATGACCTCTACAATATCTGTATGACTGAGACCAGGCCAGGTCCTTCCTTAGGCCCCTAAGCTAATACAGGTAGTCTGTCTCTAGAGTCCATCTTCCTGGAAGAAAAAGCATGTACCCCGAGTTGAGCTTCAATGTAATTATATGCTCCCTTGTGCACCAGGAATTGTATTACACCAGAAAAGTTTTCCCCCAATTCTATTGTGCCTAAATACGCTGACAATACCCCCCACCTGGCATCAGACTCTATATTCCAGAGTCTAGGAGGTTTGGTCCAGGTTGGCAAAGTCAATCTGAACAAGGTTTCATGCTTACATCCTCACGTTTCCCTACCTGCCATAACCACCTGCAGGGTCCTTCCTGCAGACACACCCCTTGTCACATGCCTCCTAGGGGATCCACTTGACACTGAGTTACTGTTGTCAGTGTGGGAAGCATGTACCTGCCATCTCTCCTGTACAACACAGACATACTCTACCACCTAACTGTCCCTTCCAGTCCAGGGTTCAGAGATGTCCATGGGTAAAAGCCTGGCCAGCTGATGTCAGAAGTCTCAGCCCAGGGTTTTTTTTTTTTTGCCCAGACAGACCACCAGAACACAGGTGTCCCCTTCCACCTGGAATATGGCTGTGCACTTGCATCCAGCCCTGCCAGGACCTCTGGGGCATGACTAAACATTCTGTGTTTTGTTGCTGCTCCTGTAGATTAAAGACCTCTGACTTTTCTAGGCTGTAAGTGTCTGAGGGTCAGGGTAGGTCTTACTCCAAACTCACCACTCACCATAATGGTGCTGTGGTCAGTTTCTACCTAGCCCCAGATCCAGCCCCTCCCCTTCAGACAAGCCACAATGGATGAGACATAAGCCAGAAAACAAGGAGCTAGGGATCCTGCTTGGTTGGCAGAGCTCTTGCCTTGGGTTTAGCGCCCAGCAGAACATAAGCCAGGCATGGCCATGCGTTATCTATCATCCCAGCACTCGGGAGGTAGAGGCAGGAGAATCTTGAACCCCCAAAGCTGGGCTACACATCCCGAGAGGAAACAGCACACAGTACCTGATGTCTGTGTGAAGAAAAGCCTAGGACCACCAGCCTGGCAGTTTCAGACCCTCAAGGTCCAGGTCCCACACTCCCAAAGCATAACTGGCCCATCAGGAAAGTGACATAAATTCAAGAAGTTCATTGATAGAACCTGGAACATAACAGTGATCAATACATGCCCATGTTGTGTTATCAGTAGCCCGCCTGGCCACCTGAGCCCAGCAACCTGCTGTAGGTCTTACTCATAGGTGCTTACTATCTCATTCCCCCATTCAGCAGGCTCCTGGCACCACACAGGGCCCTGAGGCCAATCCCATCTCCACCCTCCATGGTCCCAAGCACCTAAACACTGTAGAGGGTCACCTCTGCTATGGTTGCTGACTCTAAGTGTCCATCACACCCGAAAACACAGCAACACCAAGATATGTGCTTGTCTAATGGGGCATACTGGCACAGTCACACCGATATATATATACAACTGACTTCTACAGGTAAGGAAAGGTCAAGAGGACTCAGCCAGGTGCTTGGGAACCCCAGCTGACTTAGTGGCCACAGGAAAATGCCCTGGTGATGCTCTAGGGCTGCATGGGAAGAGATAGGTGGCCAAGAGCTACCAGCAAATGTCTTCCATCACCCAACACTGACCTCACCCACACCCCACCCAGGACCCAGTTGCCCTACTCTCAAAATGCCAGCTGGCAGGTTCCAGGAAGACCCACGCAGACCAGTGAATCCACCATGCCATGGCCTGTGCAGCAGCAGCAGTATATCCAGCCTAATTAGATGGTGAGGGTTGGGGTGGTACTCTCAGAAAGACATCGGGAACTGGCCAAGGAAGACATACAAACTACAAAGTTAAAAAAAGCTGAAAGGAAACCCCAAGAGACCCAGAGGAGACCAGCTTGTGTGAGAGACAGTGTACCCTATCACTCCAATCCCCAGCCAGAAGTCAAGACACCAGCTTTCGCCCAGCAAGAGCTGAGGGTGCTGCGGGGCCCACCCTGCATGTTCCAGCTTGAACAGACCACAGCCACAGACAGCCAGCAGCTTTCAGTGAGCATCTGTCACCAGGAGCCTCGGTCTCAGCCTTAGATAAAGCTCCAACCACACTGGCCCTAAAGAGATGCACAGGTCCCTGACGATCTTCCTGGGTGTAGGCCCCGGGTGTGTGAATCCTGAGAAAGCCCAACGCTAGAGCCCAAGCTTCCGAGCTCCTGAACAGAGAGGCACGGGCAGCTTCTGGCACAATCAGAACGACGCAAAAGCCACGGTCACATTTCAAAACTGCAATTAATTTCCTTTGTTCATTAGTCAATTTGTTCAATTAACTAAGCCCTGAAAAATAAATAAATAAAAAGGAAGTACAGACATCTCGTATGCCTTCTAGCACTGATTTTTGACTGCCTGGGGGCATCTACTCCCAACTTGGTCAGCAGGGAAGGAGTGGAAAGGAGAATGGGGATCCCCATACCCTGATAAGAACCCTGGAGGCTTGAGTGGTAATGAAATCACAAGAGTAACACCAAAGGTGCCTGTAACAGAAAGTACACCAGGAGCAGCTTAGCCCACAAGGCAAGGCAGGAGCCCAGAGGAAGCTTCCCCAAAGAGCAGTCCCTGGAGCCAGGCCCTGCTGAGTAAGGAGGAGCTGGCTTGGCTGGGAGGG